TTCATAACTAACTAACTAACATCTATCATATCATAATTAAACTAAATAATATCATAACATATTTTCCAATAACCGCAATTCACTAAATACAGACATATAATTACTAACACATCAACATGTAAAAAATACATACTTATAACATACTCAATCCCGATCTATCATGAGAAAACTAAACAAATTAATCTAAATTCAGTACTAACTAACTAACATATATCATATCATAATTAATCTAAATATATAATTCTAACATACCTAATTCTAACACATAATCAAAATGTAAACAATACATAATTCTAACATACCGAATCCCGACGAGTTTCTTGAGCAGTAAACTACGGAGGAACCAGCTGCGAAAACGACTTAACAAAACGATAATTTTTGTACTAATTTGCTGTTTGGCAGCAGGAGGGAAGCGGGCGTGGGTTTTTATTGGAAAAATTGAGAGCTAATCACCGCTTTGGACCACGGCGGTGAACACATCATCGCCTTAGTCAACAACGGTGATATCTAGGTAGCTGTTACCTACTTCTCCACCTACCAGGGCAATGTAAAATGTGGTGGCAATCACTGTTGTCGACAGCAGCGGGGATGCCTTCACTGTTGATGTCAAAAGCGGGGATACGATCCCCGCCTTTGTCAAAAGCGGGGATACGATCTCCGCCTTCGTTCAAAGCGGTGATATGTTCCCCGCTTTTGTCCAAGGCGGTGATGCATTCCCCGCTTTCGTCCAAGGCGGTGATGCGTTCCCCGCTGCTTCACTGTTTTGGACGAAAGCGGTGATCAACATCACTGTCTTAGACAAAGACAGTGATGTTGAAACTGCTGTACTTTGGGAATTACTTTTATAAGTACTGTATTTAGGGAATTTTTTTAATAACTCGAGTATTCTGGGATTTTTTCCTAATTAATAAGTACTGATCAACCCGTACATAAAACAACTGAAAGAACGACCAAATGAAATGTTAAGGCAGCAATTAGTTAATTAGAGTTTACTGTTTAGAGTAAGTTTGGGCATGCAAATCGATGAAAGTAAAGAAGTGGAAACACAGGAGGGTATGGCACGATCTCGAGCAATGAGTCCCTTGGCCTCCATATAGTGATGGATGGGCGTGGTGAAGAAAACAAGGAACATTTGGAATACCAAAGCTATAGGCTAAACACCATGGTTAAGAGAAAGAATAATTAAGAATGGTGATCGAGGAACAAAAAGTTCAAAAGAAGAAAAAAGGGACTCCCTTGTTTTCAATATACATAGTGGCTACGGTAAGCAAGCACGGGAGGAGAGGTGTGGAAGGAAGAATTAAGCCCACAAAAAGGCACACTGACTTTTCTTTTTCTACCTTGTAAGTTGTAACTGGAAAGGCATGACAATTATGAAGGCAATCATGCCGGGCAACAAGACAGAGCTCAGAACAAGTATGCGTTTGGGTGGCATGGGTAAAATCACCAAGTCGAGGCAATGTTTGTCAATAAAAAAGTAAAAGGTGGTATATATTAGCGTGTGGTATATGATAAACGATTGAATCTCTTCCAATAATTCGAGTTATTAGGATTAATTGGTTTTTGACATGGTATCAGAGTCTTCTGTTACCGAGAGGTCTTGTGTTTGAATCTCGATGACCCCTATTTTGAAAGCACATGGTATTCTTGTGCTTCTGGCTTGAGCTTTTAGAGAAGTACTTTTCAAAAAAAGCAGTTAAGTGTTTGGCTGAAAAACTATTAAAAGTGCTTTTTAATATGAGAGGTTGTGTAAAATGACTATAAAGGACTTATAATATAAACAATAAAATGTAGTCAAAATGTATCTTGTTGGACTTTTTTTATATTAAATAATATGTTTTATTATTTATTTTATTTTTTTATAATGATATAAATGAAAGAAAATTATGTTTTCTAAAATAAAATTAAAACATGGTAAGGATAATCTTGTATTTTCAAAACAGTATTTCGCAGAAGCTCCAAATCAGAGCTTCTGCTTTTATATTATACAAAAGTGCTTTTCGACTTTTCAAAAAAGCCGAGCTTTTAGAAGTGTTTGGTCCTGCTTCAGCTTTTGAAGCCGAAAAGTACTTCTAAAAGTCGGGCCAAACATAGACTATATATAACAACCGTCTAAACCGAGAACAAGTAGCGCAACATTATTATTTTTTGGCTAGAACGAAATATTAATTAACATAGGTGACAGATCAAAGGTTGTTGGGTGCAGAACATTTGCCGATCGACCAGCTTGAGCATAGGTAACAGATCAAAGAAGCTTTTTCTTCCATCATGCGGCATATCTAATATTTAGCTAGCAGGACTCAAACCGGTATCCAGGATGGGTACATGGATCATCTTGTTAACTGAATTCGGTTATTAGTTTACGGTTAGTCTTTCGATTTCACTGTGTAGTTGAGCTCAAGGTTTTGCTCTAGCTTTTTCGCTAGCTTTCAAGTGATCGAGTTTTGATATAAAAAGGAAGAAGATATATAGTAGAAAAGGCCGAACTACCTTTTCTTCAGTCGTCTCCAATTTCACACCCTTGCAATTAGAGGTGGCAATTTCAATCCAATCCACCAATCCAATCCATCAATCCATTAAAAATATCCACCTAATCCAATCCATTTAAATCCAATCCATTTGATCCAAATCCAATTAGATTGGTGGATTCATGGATTGGATCCATGGATCATTGGCAATTTACGGTTTAGTACCTATAATTTTTATCTTTTACATTTTGGTACCTAAAATTTAATTTTTTATATGAAAAATTTCATTGGAAAATTACGTTTTGGTACCTAAAATTTTTCATTGTGACATTTTAGTACCTAAACTTTTTACATTTTACATATTGGTCCTTGGTTGAGGATGTCATTTGGATTCATGGATAATCCACCAATCCACTTGATCCAATCCATGAATCCATCAATCCATTAGATCCAATCCATTTGATCCATGGATCCACCAATCCAATTCACCAATCCACCAATCCAATCCATTTGCCACCTCTACTTGCAATGTTCGATATAAGCCTCTAAAGAAGGACTAATTATTGACTTAAATCATGTAACGTATGATGATGAGGGGTGATTATTGACTGATTTAGAAGCCCTTTTGCGGGGATAATGCTGTTGGAATTGAACTCATCAATATGTTGTTTTTGGGTATAACTCATAACCTCACCTTTTGTTTCTTGTGCTTAGTTTTGGGTACCCGTTCCTAGTTGTAGGGTATAGCTCTTGTTTACCTGGCCACCCCCTTCTTTACTTGCGAGAAATAGCATGAAGGGAGGAGTAGGGGTGGCAGTTCGGTTATTTCGGTTATAACCGGTAATCGATCGTTCGGTTATCGGTTAACCGAAATAACCACTTTCCCTATCAAAAATCGTCCGAAGTAGGCTTTGGTTTCTCTGTTATCAGTTAACCGAACCACTTTTAAGGCTAAAAATCATTTCGTCCAGCCTCCGATAATCGACCGAATAATACTGCGCCTGTAAATTGTAATTGTATTATTATGTTGTCAACTGAGAATAGCAATGCGGCGGCAGTGGCAGTACTTGTGTCGGCCGGGAGTGAGAGTGACAGTTTCGAGTGAGTGGTTGTTGTTGTTGCCATATTAGGCAGGCAGGCAGGCAGGCAGGAGGGCTGAGTCCCATCCCATCCATCCTGAAGGCCGGCCGCAGCCCAGGCAAACTGCGCGCTCTGCGATTGAATTTGAAGTGCAAGCAAGGTCAGAAATACTGCTGCACGCTCGCTCTAGCGCGCCGACCCTTTTTTAACTATACAACTACTAGCTACTTTTAGGGCTAGCTTAACATCAGAGAGATGTTGGGTGGCAGCATGGAGGCAGTGGCAGAACTAGTTCTTTTGGGGGGAAAGTAGTTGTTTCTGACTGACAGTGGTAGTAGCTACTAGCAATGGAAAGGTGTGAATGTGGAAACCCTTGTGGTGGTATGAGGGGTGATTCCCCCGCATTCGCCTCGACCAACGAAACCCTCTCACAGCAGCTTCCAGTTGGGGTTTTTTTGTTTTCTTCTTGGAAAGCAAACCTAGTTTATTAGTTTAATTTCCCTTTATTCTTTCCTTTCCAAAAGTTTCTATCATCTTCTCTTTTTGTCATCTTCTATCTGTCTCTTAGATTTTATTAAAAAACTTCCTCTCCCTTTGTCAAGCTTTAACCTTCACTTCACTAGTTCACTTTTCACTCCTGTTTTGAATCTCATGTATTAGGATAGAAAGAAGTCAATTTGCATTGGTCCAACCTTGTGAAGTTAATCTACAGTGGAATAAAGAAAAGGAAATTAAAAATTCTTGCCTTAGTCGTCTATCATGATTCATGGTCTTTATGATACTACATATAGTTTGTATCGACAAATTTGGGACGCAGTGGAAATTTGAAAACGTGAGAATTAAATTACATTTTTACGATATAGCTAGAAATCTTGAGAATTTTTCAAGTGGAAGTTTGTTAAAATTTAATTTGTCCCTAATTACCGCGTCTCATTTTCCACATTACCTTTTCTTTTCAAGCCAAACGTGAATTTCTTATTCAATAACCACATTTTGTACCCGATTTCCACACTAAAATTCCACATCCAAACGACTTCTAAGTTAATACCAGAATACGAGTCAACTTGTCATTCATCATATTTTTCTCGCTGATTAATTGCATATGTAGGTACAGAATCTTCAATTATATTAATTAGCTTGTGCATGATGGAGGTAACTCCTTCACAAATAAACTTTATTAGAGATGAAAAACTAAGAGCTAGCTAACTTTGGCTGCAAACCCTACTTGTACCATTCCCTATAAATTGTAATGTATATACAATTATACACTGTCAACATCAATGCCATGCCTTCTATACTCCTCTTCCATACTAACTAAAGTTAATTATATCCCCAGGCTGCTTAAGCGATCTTTGTTAAAGCAACGATAAGAAAGAAAATGAAGCAAACCAAATTAACAAGCTAAAAAACTAAACCGCAGGCGAATCATTATTCAATTTTGAAGGAGTTTACATGGCTGCGCATGTTTCCTTGTGCGCCTTTCTTGCAGGTTTGTTCAGTGCGCGTGTGTCCATTAACAACTATTCTACTCTATATTATGCCTCGAAGTGAATGAAGAGGAAATTAAAACACTATTAGTGGCATATGATTCCACTAGTATATTGCAATTAATAATAAGCTCATCAATATTTAATTACACTCCATCTCCCTAGGCTCTCTCTCTCTCTCTCTCTCTCTCTCTCTGTGCGTGACTTATCCCTATATATAAGTCACATAATTTACCCAGGTCTCCAATAGCAAAAAACACGCTTCACCAGTCAACACCTTCAAGCTAGCTGCCACACAGTTGGGCCACAGCAGCAGCTGCAGCCGAGCTTACACATTCCACCGCAAGCAAAGCAAGGCAAAGTGGTCGTCGTCGGTGTGGAGCCGACGTATCTGGGATTGGGCAAAACGGGGCTACCGGTGTGGATGCTGGTGGGCTTTGGGGCGGAGCGGTTGGGAGCCGACATGAACCGTCTGCTGGCTCTCCTCTTCCACCAGGGCGTCCTCGACGAGCAGTTCCTCCAGCTCCAGCAGCTCCAGGACGAGACTTCCCCTAACTTCGTCTCCGAGGTCGTCACCATCTTCTTCCACGAGTCCGAGAAGCTCCTCACCTCCCTCCGCTCCCTGCTCATGTACGCGCGTAAATATAAATAAATAAATAACACACTTTCTTTCTTTCTATATATACATACATACTCTATGCATTCAAGTTAATGCATATGATGGTGGAAATGCAAATGCAATGTTGCAGGATGGTGGAGGGAGATGATGATCAAGATCACGAGGGCGGGCTGGAGTACGGGAAGATCGGGGTGCATTTGAATCAGTTCATGGGGAGCAGCTCCAGCATTGGTGCCAAAAGGGTTCGCAATGTTTGCTTGGCTTTCCGGGCCGCTTCTGACCATCACAACCGTCACGGGTAACGTACTTAAGAGTGCGATTAATATCGAGAGCGCGCGAGGAATTTGAACACGAGACCTAGCTAGCTATCGGCCATGTTGATATTTATGTACGGTTTAATTTGGATGCAGATGCTTGAGAGCATTGGAGCAGCTTGAGCACGAGTACTGCTACCTGAAGAACAAGTTGCATGAATTCTTCCAAGTAATATTATACTAATAATTATACCTTTTTCACATGCGCGCTCTCATTTTGTTAAGTAGTGATCGATCAAGCTAATCAGGCGTGATTAATGAATTATTGTTTTTTATAGTATTAATTAAATTGGTACTTTAATATGTGTTGGTTGCAGTTAGAGCAGCAGAAGGTACTGGCAGCGGGAGTGAGATACCCGATGAACCACTACAACAACAACAACAACATCAACAGCTAAGCTAGCTAATTGACTAATCAACAAATGGAGCATAGCTGAAGAAGTCTTGGCTAGATAGCTAGTTAGGGGCTAGGCGTGCATGATCGCTTGATTTTTGTGCATCATATTATTAGTATATTAGTTATGAATCCTGCTTATTGCTTTCACCGCAAATGTTGTTATTGCTAGCTTCTCTTTTTCTTCCTTTGGGCAAAGCTAGTTTTAGTAGCTAGTAGCATACTAGCATGTCTCCCCCCCATGCAATTTCCTCCTTTTTATTGAAGTTGTTGATCCATGTTGTGACAAAGTACTGAATTTTACCAACGACGACTGTAAACTTCTTTTTGAAGTTGACGATCCATCTAGTTTTAGTATGCTTAGAACGTATTGAAAATATGAGAAGGCAGAATGACTAAAATGCAAGTAATAGTGATGTATATTTATGAACAAAGTGTTGTCTATATAAAATGTCCATAAATGACAAAATGAGAGTTGCTTTCTATTTTTATGATACATAGATACTTAATCTTCACAATAAAAGAAAATTATCATTTGATGGAGTTTAATGTATCCATAAAATAAAATATATTTTTCTAATTTTTAATTCAAGACATGAATTATACATTGAAAGTAGGGCTGGTAAAAGGTTATCCCGTTAGCGGTGCAACCACGCGATAACCGAATCGAAATTGATGGTTAACGGTTACATAGATAATCGAGTAAACAATAAACAGTCGATTCTTGGTAGTTAAATTCAGCTAATTAATAACCGAAGGTTAAACGATTAGTAATCGATGGTTAAACGGTTAACCGACTAACCGATTACGACATGCTCATAGTTAGAGAAAAAAATAATAGGCCTCGATGAGCCGCAGACATAGGCAAAAAATAATGGGATGTTTGAAGGCCTACATGATCCATTGACTACCCTAGCTGTAATAGTTACTTACTATCAAATGCGAATAATTTCAATGAAGGGCTTTAGAAGTAACACAGTACAAAGTTGGCCTTACACAGTATTTCCACGACAATATGTAACATTTAAGCCTCCATGTAATTTGGTGGGTTTATGAGTTAAGTAATTGTTGTTGAGTCTTTTATTCTTGTTTGCTTCTTTGATCAAATTTGACGGTAGAATGATGTTATAGTGTATTTGTGTTGGATTGAAGTGATTAGGATCGATATCCATTTGAAATTATTTTTTATTCAATGATAACAACTTAAAAGAACACATACGTATATAACAAAAAAATCTACACAAATGCACAATTGAAGAAGGAGGTTACCGATCGATTATATTTTGGTATAACCTTATCGAATAACTTGCTTAACGGTTCTTCATTTAACAAAAAAAAAAAAAAAAACGAGCACCGACTATACAATTATGATTAACCGACTAATATAAACGGTCCAGTTAACGATACACATAAAGTGCTTAACGGTCCGGTTATAAATGAATTGAACCTATTGTCAACCCTAATTGAATTATATGATTTGAATGAGAGAGAATATGTTGGAGATTCATCACTAGTACTTAACTGGAAAATGTATTAAGCAACTATCAAATCTTAGACGCCCTCATTAACATATGAGTGAGTATCAATGTCATGCTAGTTAGTGTTTGTGACGCACTAGAGGGTAGTAATCTGGAAGCATCACACATAAAAAGTACCATTTTATACCTCCTATTTTATGTCATGTTTTGGATAATTTTCTTTTCTTTAGTGTCATAATAGCATGTTCATGCAATAGTTTGGTAATCGCTCAAAGGTGTGTTTAGTAGGTCATAAGACTACATTTATTATTTTGATGCACTTTTCATAGTGTTACATATGTTTTTGGATCAAGGTATCATAGTGGACATCCTTGTACGATTGAGAGACATCAAGTTCCTAGATGTTGGAAGTAAGAAATGGAGATTGAAGCGAAGACCACAATTTGGTGTCAAATTTAGTCGCTCGAGCCCAAATTGGAAGTTGACTCGCTCTGACTATCACAATAAAATCCCACTTAACGTCCAAGTATAAACCTTAAATGGGTGCAATATAGGGCAAGTATGTTTAAATATCGACCCGAGCCGGCCTAAGTACCGCTAATTTGAAACATTATCTAGCGAATTAGTTTTGGTGAAAACAAAGGTCTAAAGCTAAATTACTTAACAAAGTAAAATGGATTTGACACTAATTGAGAAGGCTTCACCCAAGTGTTGCTCCCCTTAGCCAACAATTACGACTTGAAGAATCGAATGATCGTGTGTGGGTAGGGGGTTATAAACCGCAAGGAAGTCTAACAAGTAGCCAAAGCTACCCTCTTAGTCTTTAGGTTGAGGAAATGTGATACGACCCAAGCCACTAATGCGACCCTCTCAACCTATTGACTAAGGAATGGTTAGACTTCACCCTCGAATTGGAGTTCGGACGGCCACCCACAACCAAACCCTAAATGCTAATACAAAACAGGAGGTTTGCCCTTAATTAACCTAGAATAGGAGGCATGAAATGCCCAAGGAAACCCATCTCTAATATAGCCTCTTAGATTGGGGGGGGGGGGGGTTCTCTCTAAACTAGCTTAGGAGGCATTGAATGCCCAAGGAAACCTAGCTCAAATTGAGCCTCTTTGGGTAAAGGAGGTTTCCTCTCTAAACTAGCCTAGGAGGCATGCAATGCCCAAGAACACCTATCTCTAATTGAGCCTCTTAACCTAAGGAGATCTCCTCTCTAAGCTAGGTCAACAAAGCACACAAGATTGTTCATGAATAATACCTCCACATTCACATTAAACCCAACCACTCACAAATTATTCAATTCATACAAGAATTCACATAAATGTAGCTAGGGTTTACAAACAACCAAGTGAAAGAAGGGACTACTCCATGCTAGGAGAAGGGAAAACACAGGAGAGGGAAAGGAAAACCATATAAAAGATGCAAGCCTTGCTCCTTGTGTTGAAGAGATCCTCCTTTGGGGGAGGAATTCCCAAATCCTTGCCTGGGGATGAAACCCTAGCTTCTCCTCTTCTTTGGTTCGTCACTTTCGCACTCAAAAATCTGAAGAAGAATTTTCTCACACTAGGTCTCTCTCCCTCTTCTTCCTTTCTGCTGGCCTTTTAAGTTGAGGTCGCACCCAGTTCACGCCCTGAGTTCGCGGCCATGACCATCGAAACGCGTCCATGATCATAGAGTATGGACCAAAACGCACCGCGTCGCATCCTGGGGTTCACAGTTTATGGCTTCTGTGCACGGTCTTAGCGACCGTGAACAACCTTGGCGTTAGTAACTTCAAAACCGTCTTTGGACACTCCTTGGTTCACGTATTTTGGCTTCAGTTTACGGCCCCAGAGACCGTGAACTCCAATGGCAGACCGTGAACACTGGCTGTCTCCTCCTCTTTGCCTGACATTTGCTCCTTTTCTTCCAACTTTTGACTCCGGGGTTGGTTTCACCTGTTAGGATCCGAAACACATTGAAACACAAGAAAAATAGCGTAAAACCACCCGTTTTGGAGTTCAATTGCAACAAACGTCAAAGAGGAACAGGGATAAAAGTGTATAATTAGGCCCGAATCACTCCCCCACACTTAGACGTTTGCTTGTCCCCAAGCAAACCAGTTCACACAAGGTAATATCTCAACCTAAAAAAATGCTTTAAGGACCTTTTGGTGCAAAGAATGTGCACAATCATCAACACTCAGCGCTATCGTCTCTTCACCACGGCGACAACCTCTAAATGCTAGAGTTCACGGGACAGTTGTCATCACTAGCTTGTCCGTAGGTCTTAGACACAGGTTCAAATGACTGGAAATTGTCTTGGACACGAGGAAAATACTTTTTTGGTAGTGGCAAACACATCATGAGGTCCTACATCTTCACCCTTAACCCGAAGGTCCTATGGTTTCGATTAAGAACCTTCCCTACAAACAATGGCCACTAGCATAGGCCAAAAACCTTGCATCTCCCTTCCAACCTATCACCCATCATGAACTACCTTTAAGTGCTCTTCCTCGGTCTACTCTTGCTATCACATTTCGATTTGGTAGTGAAGAATTTCTAAACAAATTGGGGGGGGGGGGGGTTTCAAAGGCTTGGGTGCCAAGAAACCCCACTTAGAGCATATTCTTTGATTCTTTTGTAGCACTCTATACTTTATTACCTCATTTTATTACCTATTTTTCGATTCCTTTTCTTTCTACTTTCCTTTTCTTTCTTTTTTCTCTTTTCTTTTTGAGGGGGTACTAGAGATTTAATCACTTGCCACATTAACTTTAACAACCAATGCTCTCTTTAAGAACTCACTCAAACACACTCCAACAAATATGGTCTATGGTGGCAAAATTCTAATTTGTCATTTGTTACTTTGTCACCACAGAGTATATAATATGGCAAAAAGTAATTTCGTCATAATATAGTCGGATATTGTGACAAATTTGATTTTTGTCATAACTATTTGTCATAACAAATATTTGTTATGACAAAAGTTATGCTCTCACAATTATTTTGTCATAATAACTTTGGGTCGGATGATTCGCAGTCCTGTAGTGTGACAAAACTAGTCGTCACAATACGGTTTGTCACTTTATATACCATTAAATTGCAATGTGACAAACTATATTGTCACATTGATTGGAATTTCGGTTGGCGGGAAAGATATGAGGGAAATATTTATGTGGAATGTGACAAAATTAACATTTTGTTACATTGTAATTTGTTTAATTTTTTCCTTTTATGCATTGGAAAATAGATTAAGATGATCTAACGCGTGGGTGAGGTTTTCGTTTCCCTCTCGTTTTTCACTCTCCAAAATCCATAGCTCCTTTTCCCCCTCTCCAAAAACCTAGTTCCAGAATGGGCAATGTCTATTTTTTACCCAAACCTTTTTCAGATTCTTTTATTTTAACCAAACCTATAGAAATTCTATTTATTATCCAAACGTATTATAATTTATAAAAGTTTGGGCATTCATTCTGTTACTGTTACTTATTTCGTCCACGTGAGGGTGGGATTTTGTTTTGTTTTTTTATAATCTTTTTATTAAAAATAGTAAATGATGGTATTCTGACCGCCACGTAGGAAGTCAACTCATTATGGTCATACTTAGTCAGCATTACTAACAGAAAAGTTGACGGAGAGTTAACGTTTGGATAATTTTTAGGAATTCAATAGGTTTGGTTAAAATAAAAGAATCTGAAAAAGGTTTGGGTAAAAAATAGACATTGCC